AAAATATTTACAAAAAGGCAAGAGCCTTGGTTCTAAGTTATAAACAACTATTCTATTAACATTTGTGATATAAGAGTTCTTCGAAAGCAAGACACTGATGCTTTCTCCCTTACAGAAAGGGGTAGATCATTCCAATAGCGTGTGCCTCTGAATGACATTGAAAATTTACCTTGCGTTGTCCTTACTTTAGGCACACTTAACTTCTTACTTTCTCTTTGTCTAGTCTCATAGTTTTGCTCTATGAAACAGCAGTACTGAATTAGAGACTGTGGCAATTTATCATTCAATAATTGATACATAAAAACACAAACAGATAATTTATGGAGTTGATACACATTCAATAATTTTAGCTCCTGGAATATCGGTTGTGAATGAGTCCTAATTGGACTAAATGTTATAACTCTTAGTGCCATCTTTTGGCTTAATAATAAACACTTCATGTTCATTTCATAATTACTTCCCCAAACCTCAATTCCGTAGGTCATATGCGGTTGGATTAACGTCTTATACAGTAACAACAAAACACGCCTTGGCACAAACTGTCTTAATCTATATAAAACACCAACCCTTTTCCTGATAAACTTATTAACCCTTTGGATATGAGGTTTCCACGTCAAGTGTTGATCTATATAAATTCCTACAAATGATGCAACATCAACCTGGGCTATTTCAGTCTCTGCTACTTTTAGCACCCCTTGAGTCACTACTGATTGCCTACTCCCTCTTATTAACAAATAATTAGTCTTTAATAGATTGACTGTAAGTTTATTTACCTTACACCATATGGTCACCTTATCAAGATGCATATTAACTATATTATCCATATCAATTGAATTCTGTCTCGGTGGAAACGTATGAAACAAGTTAGAATCATCGGCAAAAAGTCTAAAATTAAAATAATTTGTTGAGTTTGGTAAATCGTTTATGTACAACAAAAACAGTGTAGGTCCCAACACAGAACCCTGAGGAACACCACATGTTATTATCTGCTTCAATGAGCTATGTCCATCATAGTTCACAAACTGAAATCTATTACAAAGATAATCTTTAAACCACTGGAGAGGCAGGCCCCTTATTCCATAATGTTCTAATTTTCCAGCCAATATTGCGTGATCAATTGTATCAAAAGCTTTCTGAAAATCTAGGAATACACCTAGTGTTACACTGCCCTTATCCAGTGATTTAAGCACATCATTAACCAAATTAATTAAAGACAACTTAGTACTATAATGTTTACGAAAGCCATACTGGTGCTTATACAAGACATCATTTCTTTCAAAATAATCAAGTAGCCTCCTGTTTACTAATTTCTCAAATATTTTGGCCAAAAGAGGCAAAACTGAAATAGGTCTGTAATTGCCTGGGACATTTCTATCTCCCTTTTTAAAAATTGGTGTAACTTTGGCTACTTTCATTGCATCTGGGAACACACCGTTCAATAATGACTGATTATAAATATAAGATAGTGGTTTTGCAATTACTTCAGCAGCATCCTTCAGTAATCGGGCTGGAATATCATCAAAGCCGCAAGCTTTCTTTACATTTAAAGTTAATAAATAGTCCCGTACCTCATAATGAGTAACTGGTTCCCAAAACATGGAGTCAATTATTCCATCACTAAGATAACCTTTGAATGTAATAACATCGTCAACATTACCATTAATAGATTTAGCAAGTTTAGGCCCAATGTTCACAAAAAATTCATTAAAGCCTTCTGATATTTCTTTCCCTGAGGTTACAACTTTCTTACCACCATTATCATCAACACAGAGCTTATCTACATGTGACGTTTTTACTTTACTGTTTCCACTCTTCAATAGCTTATTTATTGACTTCCATGTTTGCGCTGTGTCACCTTTATACATTTCAAATACATCACTATAATATTTCCTCTTCGCATTCCTCAAAACTGTAGTTAAAACATTTTTATACGTCCTATATTTTTTTCAAATTATCTTCACTATAGTTTGATTGTAATACTTTACCATACAATTTATGTTTCTTTTTAATAGACTTCTTAATAGCTCTTGTCAGCCATGGTTTATCATTTTTCCTCCTGGAAGAGTGACGATGAACAATCGGAGCATATTGATCACATATACCTATGAATGATTGTACAAATATATCATATGCTTTATTAACATCAGTACATTGATATACATTTTCCCAGGATTCCAAGAGTAGACTATCCCAAAACTGTTCTTTCTCATAGTTTTTATAACTTCTATATCGTACTTCTCCTTGTGGTTGTAATTTTACTGAGCTATCTTCAAAAATAGCAAATATAGGGAAATGATCAGAAACGTCAGTTACAATTGTACCAGCACATATGCGATCTGCACCCATATTTGTGTAAATATGATCAATTAAGGAACCTGACATGGGTGTTACCCTCGTAAGGGTCTTAATTAATTGATGTATCCCCAAACACACTAAAGAAGTAACTAACATTTCAGCATTTACGCTGGGATTATACAAATCAATATTGAAATCACCCATTAAAATACACAACTTTTTATCAACTTTAATCATTTCTAACACAGACAATAAACTCCCTTGAAACTGGAAAATATCAGTGTTTGGTTTTCTATAAATGACACCTACAACAACGGAACGATCACCGATTTGAACCTCAAGCCATAGTGATTCAGCAAAGTCAATATCATATTTTAACATTTTATATTTCAAAGAAGAATGAACATAGACTCCAACACCTCCTCCCCGTAAACCAGGGTCCCGGCAATTCACTTCCAAAGTATAACCATCTATCCCAAGGATATCTGCACAAGATACATTCCAGACTTCAGACAATCCAATTAAATGAAATTTTGATTTGATGCATTCTTCATACAATAATCAATATTCTTATTTAAAGATCTAATATTTATATGAGAAATCGTAAAAGCTTTTGGGAACTTTGAACATAATCTGTTATCAAATTCGAATGGGGTTAATTCAAAAGAGTCAATATCAAACAAATTAATGTCTTCGTTAATATCGAACATAATGAAATATTCGGGAATCTAACATAGCCTCAAAAATGAGTGAAACATACTAGGCAAGGAAATGGAGCTTAAAATCGCCGTATGTAAAGCAGAGCAGCGTTTCATAAAACCGTCATAAGTACAAGTTCAGCGACATCCCATTGAAACGCGTGTTAAACTTAATACACGCATTTTAATGGGATGTCGCCGAACTTGTACTTATGACGGTTTTGTGAGGCGCAGCCCAGGTGAACCAAATAGTCAGTATCAAGGGCCTCTGAAGAGGTCAGAGCATACATATATTGAAATACATTGTTATGCTAATACCAACAGCCTGTACCTATTGACATTTTTCGAACATGACAACAAGGTTAAAAGGTTCATATTTATTGTCCATTTAACAATTGAAATTCGCTGTGTTACATGATATTGCGAAACATATATACAGCATTATACATTCATACACAAATCAGTAAAATATTTTTTGAGTTGACAGAAAACAAAGACGTATTACGCAATCCCATAACGATATTAATGGGAAAAATCATCCGGTGTTGAAATTAGCCATTTTAAATATGTATATTTAAATTCATTCGAGTTTACTTAGCAACGAGCTATCATATCCACCTGTCATTTTAAATTAGTTTACATGTACAAGTATTTCAAAGTTCAGAATGCAGACTACATAATAAAATTTGTTGCTAGGTAGGACAAATTATTATGGCTTCCCCCACGTACACCAAATAATGGAGACAATTACATACCCCGTATTAAAGTACACTTATTCGTAACTAGGCACTTCACAGATATGTATGATGATTACATTACAAACATTGCCTATTTCTCCGAAGTTGATTTCTCGAAAGTATATGTGATCATGTTCTCTGTCCAAAAAACGATCGTAAACAAGTCAAAAGTGAACATTATGTATCAGACTGATTTTCGCATATGGTAGAATGTCAAAATTAAACATGGCTTCTAAGACCCCGTTCTCACTCACTTTGAAAGTGGTCTTAGTTAGACCGCTCCAGAGGAACGGGTCTTGAGGAACGGTTTGCGAGCGTTCACACTCCGAGCAGTTTTTTTATGGCTCAAACCACTCCACGAGTCAAAGTGGTCTTGTTGCTATGGTAGCTCAGGTCAGCAGGTCAATTTTTTTCGCGCGCGGAATACAAACCGTATGTACTGTGGTGGGCCAGTAAATGAGTTGAAGATGACAAGTTCAAATATAAATGAAAACACAAGAAGCTCGGCATTACAGTTGAAGTCCACTTTATTAAATATATATATCAGCCGAAGCTCCAATCGTTGCAAACGAAAAGTATTATTATTATAAAAACATTGTAAATAAACTGCTTCTCTCAGAGGCTGGGCGGCCATATTGACAGTAACTACAGCACATCCTAAACATGTTAACGGAATGAAATAAACTCTCAAATAATATACTCTCAAATAATATCAACTAAAACTGACTTCAAAATCCCGCACCTCGCATTTAAATACCGCGGCACCCGATGAGGCTTAGATATTACATGATATTGCCAGCCAACCAGGAGGACTCTTACGGAGCCAACCAATTACAAGACGGGATATATCAAATTACCCTTAGGTCATCCGACCAATTAAGAGAGGAGTTATACCTTTAATTAATTATAACCAATGACAAAGCATAATAGATGAGTGTTATCTGAACTAGTCACCGACAAATATGGGAGGAGTCTATCTCTTCGCGAGAATGTCGCATCCCCGGCAAAACAGTCTATTGTCTATAACTTGTTGTTGGAAATGAACACCTGTACATCTTGATGCAGGAATTCATTTCCAACGTGCTTTTCGAAATGAACACTTTAATCTAATGCAAGAATTCAAAACCAGGGGTTGTTTACCCGTTCCCGGCATACTATTGGAAACATAATTAATGCTATTTAACTTTTAGGTGTATACCAAGTCAAACTAATAATCGTACAATTAATCAACCCAGCCCGGCTCTTATATGGCTATAGCGCCCCCTTTAGCCCAAATGAGCGTACCACTATGTTGCTCTGGTAGCTCAGGTCAGCAGGTCATTTTTTTCGCGCGCGGAATACAAACCGTATGTACCGTACTACATGTTTCGCATGATAGAGACAGCGTCTGCTTCGGACGTGCCTCCTTCGAGCTCCGGTGTTCGATCGAATTGAATTGAATTCAATCTTCAACTGACACCAAATTTACTCAATTTTCTTTTTGGATTGCCAGCCCAAGTCTATTTGGAATATACATTTTGTGAATTCACCATACTACTCTTCGGAATTTCATGTGTGGAATATATTAAAATTGTTTCTCTGATTGTCGGAAACCACGCTCAATTTTGTATTTGGCGCCAAATATATCATATTGGTCTCGGTGAAAGGAAACCAATTATCTTTTTCCGACCTAACTCCGTATAGTATTTGAATTTGTTTTGTGTATTGGGATTGCCAGCAAGAGGTAAGCAATATTTTCGGGCATTTTTCTGCACTGCACTGTATGCTACATTAACCAACATAACTAACTTGGGAGCAACACCCATTCCCGAAGGCCGCCTGATATGGCGGCCTACAACCCCCTTAAACCCATAAGATATTTCTCATCAGAGATAGAAGGTGACACAGAAGAGGAGGCATACAATAATAGCTCCATCCCCGTAGAAAAGAAAAATGCAAAGAAACACCCTAGGAGAGCTCGGCCACGAGAAGACAGCCACAGTATAAAAAGCTTAAAGGCACAGTCGGGGTCGGATAGCGATAGCCCCATATTTCAAGAAGCCCGAGCCGACCCACATCAATCTTCCACAACCCAAGATGAACTAAAAGTACTACTCATCCCAATTGAATCAACAAAAATCCTAGGACACGTGAACCCCATAAAAATAGCAAAGAAATAGAGAAATGTGCAGGACCCACAAAAATAGAATTTGTCAAAAGAATCCAAAAACGGTTTATTGATCAAATGTCAGAACATAAAACAACATAAGGCAATCTCAAACATATTGGAAATAGGCGGTATCCCACTTAAGGTAAAAGAACGATCAAAAACAGTAAAAGGAGTAATAACAGGTGTTTATCCAGATATTACAGAAGAAGAAATCACAGAAGCGCTCAAAATCTACAAGTGCGCAAATGCTAAAAGAATCACGAGGAAAATAAAGAAAAACCACCCTGAAACCAAGAGCAGTTCGTCAACCGAAACCACTAACCCTACCGACATGTCCACCAAAGCAGTCATCCTATCCTTTGAAAGTAAAACGATACCAAAACAAATCATACTATTCTATCAGGAATTTAAAGTAAACGAATTCATCCCCCCCTGTCCCCAGATGTTTCAAATGTCAACGCATGGGACATGTAATTTCGCAATGCAATAGCAAGCAAAGATGCGTCAGGTGTGGAGAAGAGCACCCTTTCGACCAATGTCCCAGAAAATCTAATCCCTTTTATGTTAACTGCAAAGGAAACCACTCAGCAGCATTCAAATGATGCATCGAAGCCAAAAACGCAAGAATTGTCCAAAAAATCCGCTTGGAAAAGAAATTAAGTTATGCCGAAGCCACGAAACATTGTAAAGAGGCAACAAAAGTAGAGGAAAAAACTAACTCTAAGGAATCGAGCACAAACGGCAACAGTAAAGTACCCACAAACAAAGAAAAGAAACAAACAAAAAGTAAAACAATTCCCACTCAAAGCAGACCAAATACAGACTCTACACAATACATTGAAATAGAAACCAATCAAAGCGAAAGTTTTGTTACCCCCTCCGTATTTGTAGAACAGGGGAGAATGCAACATTCCAACAGCGGTGGTCACGGTAAACCTAACATCATTACCACAGCCAAGAGAAGTCACATCCCCCTGGATCTCCTAATGTTTCTTGTCCGTGTCATAGAAATAATGCAACAAGACATCCCACAAACACAAAAGATGAACAAATTTCTCGTAAAAGCCCAAACATGTCTCAATATATTACCTGAAGAGCTAGAAATAATGAAACACCATGGAGAACATGATTAAAATTCTCCTTTTCATGGCGGCACTATCCATACTACAATGGAATGCCCAAGGTCTCCAAGGGGGGCACGGGGACGAACTAGTTCAATTGCTACTGTCACGCATATATTGTGCATTCAAGAAACGTGGTTTACAGAAAATAATATATTACAAATACCAAATTATACATGTATACCACGCAACAGAAAAATCGGAGTGAGAGGCGGATGCGCCATTTACATACACAACTCTGTATATTTCAAAAATATAACACTCCATAATACCATTGAATTGCAAACTATTCAACTGCACCTCAAAACTTCCTGCATGACAGTAGTAAATTATTACAATCCATGTCAGCGATTAAACATAGATACCCTTGAGGCCATTATTCCCGAATATGCTACCCCAAAGTACCTGCTAATCCTAGGAGACTTTAACAGCCATAACTCATTATGGGGCAGTAACACTACCGATGTAAATGGCCGCATCATAGAAGAATTTATAGAAAATAAAAATATTATACTACTAAACGATGGATCAGGTACGAGAATGGATCACCATACGGGAAAATTCTCCTGTCTAGACCTATGCTTAGCAACACCCTCCATAGCTAATAGATGTCAGTGGAATGTAAAGCAAGATAAGTTAGGAAGTGATCACTTCCCTATAGAAATACAAATCAATCTACATCCTGTAGAAGAAATACATGAAAGAGAATATACAAAACGAAATGAACCATATCTTAGTTACAAAAAAGCAGACTGGAAAGCATTTGAACAATTATGCGACATAGAACTATCCAATATAACTCCAAATGAAAACACAGAAGAATACTACAACGAATTCATAAACGTCACAAAGAAAATTATGAAGGAAACCATACCAACAGTTACAAAAAACCATAAACCACACAATCCATGATGGAATGAAGACTGCCAAAAGAGAATTAAAGAACGAAACAAAGCCAAAAATAAAGCAATCAAATACATGACGAAAGATTATCTCTACGAGTACCTAAATAAGAAAGCCCTTGCACAGAAGACAATAAGAGAAGTAAAAAGACAACATTGGAACAAATACTGCTCCAGGCTTAATAGATTCACTCCGACCTCAGAAATTTGGAAAATGATAAAAAGATACAACAATATCATACCAAAAAAAGAATGCTTACCAACACTAAAAGAAAATGATATAGAATATATTACCGATCAGGAAAAGGCCAATAAGATAGCTGAAGATTATACTTACGTAACTAAACACAAAGTTGACCCTAGCTCCCAACTGTACACTCACGTAGCAAATAATATAGAGAAAATTAAAAATAAAGAACCAAAATTTTTTCCCTCAGTTCTAAACGACAAATTCACACTATCAGAATTAGAAGCAGCAATCGAACGTCAAAATTCCTCCTCTACCCCCGGACACGATAAGATTAAATATTTAATATACCAAAAACTCACGAAACCAGCAAAACAGACCATGCTAAATTTGATAAATCAAATTTGGAGCTCCGGGCAAATACCAAGGCAATGTAAACACTCAATTATTATCCCAATCAAAAAACCTGACAACGAACCCCATAAAGTATCATCGTAGACCAATTGCACTCACAGTTTGTTTCATCAAAATCATGGAAGGAATCGTGAATGTAAGACTACAGTGGTTCATCGAAAAACAGGAAATACTCCCTTCATTCCAAATAGGATTTAGAAAGAATAGAAGTGCTACAGATAGTATCATCAGTTTAGAAAATGAAATACAGAAAAAACATAGCCATTAAACAGCATACAGTCGCCATTTTTCTCGACATAGAAAAAGCTTATGATACACTTTGGGTAGACGGATTGATATCAAATCTTTATGATATAGGTATACGAGGTAAAACACTAAACTTTATAAACAATTCTCTAAGAAATAGAACATTCCAGGTAAAAATAGAAAATACACTGTCGCACATAAACAACACAGAAAACGGTCTATCGCAAGGTAGTTCCATAAGTCCAATACTGTTCAACCTTATGCTCTGTCAAATTCCAAAAACCCCCTCAGTCTCCATATCTGTATACGCAGATGATTGCGCCATTTGGACTTCAGGACCTAACATTAATTTTATAGTAAATAGAATTCAAAATTGCTTAAATAACCTACGCATTTGGTTCGAGCAAAGGGGCTTTAATCTCTCTGAAAATAAAAGTACCCCGGTGCTCTTCAGCAATAGCAATAGCAACAGAACAAACCTCCTTGTAATAAAACTTAAAGAAAAAGAACTACGATTCCAAACAAATCATACATTTCTTGGCGTCACGTTTGATAAAAAATTGACATGGAATACCAATATACAAGATATCAGAAACAGATGTAGAAAAAAAAAAATATCCTGAAAAGCGTCGCTCATACAAGTTGGGGAAGTAACACAAAAACATTACTGATGCTATATCGATCTTTGATATTAAAGATCAATGCTAGATTACGGGTGCGAGGCATATGACTCGGCAAGCGAAAGCTCCAAAAAAGTTTTAAACTCGATGCAATACATGTCCCTACGTATATGTGCAGGTGCTTTACACGGTACATCCCTCGCCGCCCTACAGTTGGAAATGGACGAGCCCCCTCTTGGGTTATTAAAGAAGGAAAATGCTGACAGAAAAGTACCACGTCCATCTTTCTCGTGTGACAAACCACCCATTAAAACCAAACATCCAACCATGTTGGCAATTTCAAAAGCTAAAGAATAAAAAAAGTGAGACAACATTTTGGATTAAGAATAAAAAATGAACAAATAATAGAGTCAATTACGGAAAAAAGTAATAGAACTTCCATCCCCCCCCCCCCCCTGGCACAACTACACTCCCCAAATATCCATAGAACTAACTGAATCAATAAGAAAAAATGATAACCCGAATGAAATGAGACTAAGAAGCATAGAACTCATAAAATCAAAATGGAATAACAGCCTTCATATATATATATATATATACATATATATATATATATATAAATATAAGGTGGTCTGTATTAGATACAGCCCACCTGATAATAATAAAGGCGATTTTAACAAAAATATAAGGTGGTCTGTATTAGATACAGCCCACCTGATAATAATAATAAAGGCAATTTTAACAAAAATATAAGGCGGTCTGTATTAGATACAGCCCACCTGATAATAAATAAAGGCAATTTTAACAAAAATATAAGGTGGTCTGTATTAGATACAGCCCACCTGATAACAGCCTTCATATATATATACGGATGGCTCAAAATCCCCATCAGGCACAGCAGCTGCGTCCTTTTTTTGTCCCACATTTTTCAATAAGGCAATCAAAACGTCTTACAGACCATACCTCAAGCTACCGAGCAGAGTTAGCAGCAATAACAATTGCCCTATTATGGGTTGAACAACTAAACCTGCACGCAGGGGTAGCGATATTCACAGACTCCCTCAGCGCACTCCTCTCAATGCAATCAATGAAAGGAGATAAGTCAGATAACTTCATAAACGACTTCAAGTATATATACACAAGACTCGCATACAGAGGCATCCAAGTCCATCTAGAATTAGCCTTTTGACAAGGCCTCGTGACTCTAAGCGGCTGAGATGAGTCTAGATACCCGGAGTGAACGCGCGACCGAGTGACGGAATTTATTGACCAATCAGAACGGCGATCTCCCAGTTGGCTTCGTTCGTGATTCGTTCCATGTAGAGGTCAGTGGTCTTAGCACGTACGTAATAGTTCATAGCATGTAGGTCCATGTTCGCACTACGTAGAGTTTACTGTGTGTGTGTGTGTGTGCGTGTGTGTGTGTGTGTGTGTGTGTGATGGATACTACTATGCTGACGTCGTGCGAGGATACGTTCGCTGATTGAACGCTCCATTTTCTGGAGCGAATTCTAGTCGGAAACAAGGGTTAACATAAGAAATCCAAATCAGATTGATAAAGGCCACTAGGATGGGCTCCTCGCTCTCGCGTTCACTTGGGTTTTCGCGATTAGTCTCGTTTTAGTCGCTCGGCGTCTATCAGACAAGTGGCCTTGTTTAAAGGCTAATCTAGAATGGATCCCCTCTCACTGTGGAATACAGGGAAACGAAATAGCGGACCTTCTCGCAAAACAAGCCCTAACTGAAGAGATACAAATAAATAACAAGTTATGTTTGTCTGAAATGAAAGCAGTATTGAAAGTAGAACTATACAAGAGTTGGGAAGAACAATGGCAAAATTACAATAAAACAAACGTAAGACCTTTCAAACCTACAATTCAACATAACTTTGAGAGCACCCTGTTTAGAGACTGCGAAGTCATAATTCGCAGGCTCAGACTTTGCAACATAGGACTAAACGCAAACCCCTCAAACGTATGGGTATCCCAAACAACCCAACCTGGCCAAGCTAACAAAAATTGTAAATACTGTAACACCCCTGAAACAATAACACACTATCTGATGGAATGTCCGAAATATACAATAGAAAGAGCAATGCTGATAATGGAAAGAGATATAACGAGCCCAAACGAAATAATGAAACTCCTAAAATCAACAGAAAGTGCGACCCAGAGAGCACTGATCCGCTTCGTTCGTAGAACGAGGCGTTTTGAGTGTTCCTAATAGTTTTTTTTTTTTTTTTTTTTTTGTTGCACATATCGCACGGCAACCAAATGCCCTAAGATGTTGATACATACTTTGGTAGAAAAATAAGGTTTTACAAAATGGAAAAATACTAGAAGAGAAAAGGTAAGAAAGAGTAAAGACGGATTGAGGACGGTAAACCCCAAACAAGAGACTCTGGAGATCTACCCCAGAATCCTCTCACCGGCACCAGAGTTGCCTAGGCCAATGATGGCCGAGAAGATTGCGCAATGTACCGCGCCGGTCTGGCATGAAGGTGCCAATTGCGGTGAGGGGTTTTTCATGGACCAGTAGATCTGAGATTATATTATCAAAAAAAAAGAAAAGAGAAGAGTATGAATTTACAAATAGTATAAATAAATAGAAGGAAAAAAAAGTAAGGCGTAGATATTCTAAAAAAGAATGAAACGCCGATAATATCAAACAACAACAACAACAACAACAACGTCACTAGCTCACTTCCGTTCAAAGTACGCTTCCGTTCACATTGCACGTTAGAGCAGTCCAAACCGCTCTTCATAAGACCCGTTCCTGAAGACCACCTCCCGAGGTGGTCTTCTGGAGCGGTCCAGAATTCCACTTCCTGGACCACTTTGAACGTTCTCACTCACCTAAGAACTGTTCCTGAGGAACGGGTCTTAGTTAGACTGCTCCAACGAAGTGAATGAGAACGGGGTCAGTAGTGTGCGCGCGTGTTTGGGTGTGTGTGTGTGTGTGGGGGGGGGGGGGGGGGGGTGGGTGTCCTTGTATGCATTTTTCTTTGTGTACTCGTACCAACAGTAGGTCGAGTACAACATATGCTGATGAAGTGTGGAGACATGTTTGCCTGAAATAAGAGTTATCAGACTGAACATCAACTTGAAGTTTTTCTTTTTTCTCTATGTGTTTTATTGAAAACGTTCATATGAACTTGAGGACAATGTGGGAACGGTTTGATGACCATGTGTACACTGGGAAGTGAGAATTACTGACTGAAAATTGATTTTCCTGATCTCATCTCTGCATTGGCTTCTTTGGATCATGATGCTGCATGTCCCAAATGCATAACTCTGTGTACGTATACATGAGTGATCTGCTGGAATTGAGAACTCCTACGTACAGCCTATAGTGAGCAAAGAATTTCAATTGATACCATCGACCCTATTTAGACAGTGGAAATAGTCAATTCAGACTTTACCTATTGAGCCCTGAACTTGAACCAGAAAGCCTTTGACCAACGGCTCACCTTCTATTCACCGATAAACCTTCCTCTTGCCTGCAGGCCCAGGCTATTCATAATATTTCACATAAAAAGGTAAACAAATACTCCCCACCATGCCAGCAAACAATACAAGGGAAAACACTGCTGCTGCTACTTCTGAACCTCAGACCAGAGGCGGCCGAACGTCTTCCAAAGTGGGGGGGGGGGGGGGGGAACCAAGAAAAAAGGGCACTTTCTGGAAAAAAGGCACCTACCAAGGGAAATCTCAAAGCGAAAATATACAATTTGTTAGACATTGGTATATACCCCTACATTGTGATTAAAATTATCGGGGTTGATTTCAATATTTGTTTCACTTTATACACCACACAAGACATTGCTTTAAAAGCATGATGCTTTGGAGTTTGGTTTGAGATTGAGATTTGAGATTGAAAAGGTTTTATTGATTGCACTTCGCAGCCAGATGGCTGAATTATGAACAATTTACATTGGCAATGAATTATAATACATACAAATGTGGTTGACATTGTCACAAAGTATAATATATAGTATATAACAAAATTCATAACAAAGTTCATAACTAATATGACTAAGGCAATAACAGGCAAATTAATTCACGTATAAAATATATTTTGTGAGGTGACACAAGAGTAGGTCAAAGGATGAGCAAGCAGGCCCTTTGCTCTTCAATACACGCTCTCATTCCTATACACGCTCCTATTCTCACTCCTGTACCTTGGACACTCTCATAAACACTCACATTTACACTCTTATACACACTCCCATTCACACTCCCATACACTAGCTAACGGTCTGCTCGCTCATCCCTGGACCTCTCTTGTGTCAAGGAGTGTCGGGTATTTAAAAAATAAACAACAAAACAAGTAAGCTCCTTCCCGACTTTCGTAAATTGGGGAGAAATAAGCAAATGAATTACAAACTTGAACACCATTTGATCTGAATTGCCATGTCATGATTGCTACAAAACCTTATCACTATTCAATGTACATTTTAAAAAGATGTTACAAGTAATTATGGAAGCATAGAATTTAAAATTTAAAATGCGGAATGTAAAATGTAAAAATGTAAAAATGTAAAAATGTATGCAGACATATTGTTCAAATTGTTTGCGAGCGAGGAAAAATTGTAAAATGTGTGAGGTCGCAGTTCGAACAATAACATCTTATAAAGAGGAAAACATCCAATCCTAATGGGTTATAGGCACATGCTCATAACAACAGACTGAAAAGACCTTTGATAAGTAACATACGTATATCATCTAAAGATACGTGCGAGGGTAGCGAGCGAGACTTGGGGGAAATTGCTCTTAGTCGCTTGAAATTAGCTAGGGCGCGTTTAATGATGACAGGGAAATGGGACACTCATCAGGAAAGATAAGGAGCATGTGGCAAAGTACCAAGTTTAATTATCAGAGGTGAAAATGGGGCACTTCTTACACATTCAAAAAGAGGCACTCACCAGAGATGAAAACAGTTAGTCATGAGAATAGAAAACGGGCATTTGTCGACGAAAAAGGGGCCCCCATCATATTTTGATAGGGCATTTATAAGATAATACTATATATTGTTGAAAGGGAAATTATCAGAGGTGAAAAGCGACACTTATCGCATCTGAAATAAAGCAATGACCAGATATGAAAAGGTGCATTTATGTGAATGAAAAAAGGGCACTTGTAATACAGGAAATGAGCATTAGTTACAAAAAGGGGCATTTATCGGAGGTTTTATTAAATGCGTTTTGTCTGTATCGATAAATCAATAATTGAGGAGTTAATTGTTGATTGTACATATTTTTAGTAATCAATTTTGCAGTTATGAAGTACCGAAGCGCAACGTCATATTCGCTCGTCGTCCAGGTTACTGGCTCCAACAAGTTATAACAGAGCATGCGCATGAGCTTCACCTCAATAATTAGGGCAAACTCAGTGTTTGGTGCTGGTGTGGTAACCACATTGTTTAATACAAACCAGCAACCTTGATAACTTGACTAGTATGACGTCACACTTTTGTACTGTATACAACGATGCTTGTTTATTTAAACGCTCGCTTCTCTTGCATTTTTGTCATTTCATACAGACTCCTAGCTGTTTTGGGGTACAACGTTCATCTCATTGGAGGGGGGTTCATGGGCCACGACCGATATCACGTGACCAACATAGTTCACGATGTTGAGGTCAAAGGTCAGCGGCATCTGGTAGAAGTTGGTGCATCGGATCCAACGTTTCATCCTATTCCGCTTGACTTTGAGGAAGAGAGCCCGGTGTACCAGGAATCCTATCTGACGTATAGATTCAAACTTGGCAGGAACGACCTGCAACGCTTCCATGTCATTGGTGAAAGTGACTCCGACTCCTCTCTTCTCGAGGACCACACCCACCCGACTAACTGGAGATTGATATCGGAGATGGATATCGCTACAGATCGTGATCTCGACTACTTCAAGGAACCAATGTCGTACGTCTTTAATGCTCTACCCCGCCCCAAACTGAAAATGTTCGATGAAGGGATGTTTGCTATGATTTACGAGAATGGGAAGATGGTCTATATTCGCGACAACCATCTCTATTTGGAAAGAAACGACAATACTGGCGAACGTCGCGTTCTGTGGTCGACGGACGAGGTGCTCGAAGCGTATAGCAGATTCATGCCAATGATACCACACGAAAAGACATTGCTGGGACTGAAAAATAGAAACTTGGTGTTCCCTCCGTGGGACGAAGACAAGTGTGTAACTGTTTGACCTGTCTAAAATATATGCAACAAAGTAACCAGTCGTTTACAGTAGGTGCCGGTGTTTTGACAAGTATTTGCTATGTGAAAGAACATGACACACCAGTTGAACTTTTAAATAATCTTAACGAATTGTATTGTATTGTATACTTTATGTAAAAACATATATGAAACTGATAAAAGGTCTGAAGACTTTCTTAGGACGACTATGATTCCTATACTAAAGAAAATTAATGCTACTAAGTGCTCTGACTCTAGTACAATAAGTTTAATGTTCCATGCTTCAAAGAGTTTACTAGTAATTATCACAACAAGAAGTATCAATAAATCAGACAATTTCCAGGGCTATGATCAGTTTGAGTTTCGAGCTGGACTCGGCACTGGGGACGATATTGCTGTAATGAGAACTCTTTGCGAACGAAGTCTAGAAGTACAGAAAAAAGTAAAATTATGTTTTACGGGAACTTGGAGAAAGCGACATGGTTAACGGTGATATTAAACTACTGGGTGTGTTGAGATATATCACAGACGACTGGATGGAAAGGCGCCTCATCATGAACGTATACATGGGACAGACAGTGAGCATGAGAACGGTAGAAGGGGACTCTGAAACTGAAAACATTGGGAGATAGATGAATTCTGTTTGCGATTTGCAAATGAAAAGGCAATTATAATTAAGTGGAAGTAAAGATGGAATCTAAAGGGTAATGGACAAACAGCAGGTGAAGGTTTTGGAAATAAAATCAATACCGCTAAAAATAAAGCAATACAAGTAGTTTTGCAGTTTCTTGTCCGTGAAAGGTTTCCGTACTGTGTAAATGATTGTCATTACGACTATTTGTATATACTTTATTGCTGTTGAGGGGGTATATGACAACACAATAATAGTGTCCCTTTATTTATTTATTTATTTAATTATTTAATTTATTTGGTTTAAAAAAATCAACAAGTATTTAGTTTAGGAACTCATAATGGTTGATTTACAATGAAATTCAATAGTATAAACAAAATTGAACCAAGATATATACACTTAAGAAAAACGTGTTGTTTTACGCACATGAAAAAATATGGTTAAAGGTACTATGTCCCTTTTAAAGCCAACCTCAAATTATGTACAACTTTGCAGGAATTATGAATATGTCATGTATGTCCTATCTGTGAAATGTAAACGTTAACAGTGTCCTAATTTTCAAACTATGCAAGGAAACCCGTTTACTTGCTAGATGATGAGGGGGAAGTTAGAGAGAAATAGAGAGAGAGAGAGAGAAAGATAGATAGAGAGAGAGAGAGAGAGAGAGAGAGAGAGAGAGGAGTACAGCATCCTAAGCTCATCAGAGTTTAAGTATTAAAGTACATTTCAACAAAAAGGTAGTATGCACTTGTAACATTTGTGGAATTACAGGCTAACTATTATCAAATTGACAAATTGAATTGAAATTGACAAAGGGAGAAACCTCTTAAAGGGACTATGTCCCATTTGCAGGCCAAAAAAAGTGAAAAAGTTAAATTCCAACTGCATTTGAAAGATAATACTAATTTAGAACTTCCCTAAAAAAGGTGGGGCTTGAAAATGTCTTCAAGTGGGAAAATAACGACTATTAGTTGTCAAATCGACTTTAGGGCTATAGAGCCCAAAAGTAATAGTCTTGATTTTCAGACAATTGTACCGAATGGTCATACGTTTTATGCTGCCCAAAGATTCAATCAGTTTAATCTTGGCCATCACAAGAAGTGGGTTATTGATGTAGAAAAAATACTCATGTACCCTTTACAACTCTTTTCATGTATGTTATTATGTTATTACTAAAGAAGAAAAAAAGCCAGTCAGTCACTCAATAGTGTCTGGCAGTGAAGTCTAGCAAGTAAACGGTTTTCCTTGCATAATTTGAATATGAGGACACTGCTAACGTTTAAATTTCACAGATAGGACATACATGACATATTCATAATTCCTGCAAAGTTCTGCAGCATTTGAGGTTGGCTGCAAAAGGGACATAGTACCTTTAAAGCTTTATAATGATTGTGGACGGGCGAAGCAGGCGCTGAATAGAACATTTAGGCTTCATAAATACAACCAGACCAGTGAGACCATGAAACGGAACACTATTACAATAATTACTGAAACATTGCTTTCGAAACAATTATTTACTACAACATTTATTAGTATTTTGTGTTGATTTAGATAGCTTTGTAAAGCGTAAAAATCCTTAGAAATAAACTACTACGGAAAGGTACCAAGGTATAATGAAATAATGCAATTTACCCATGTTGCAGTGATAGCAGTTCGGATATCCGCCTCCTCTTTCATGCACACCACTTCCGCTGCTATTCTGAGTTTTAAAAAAAGTTCCGAATGTTCGCATAACTAAGCGAGGTATAAACTTATTAAAAACATGCTGTAAAACATTAAGTATAACACACACCTAGCATTTCAATCTAACAGCAAGATGTGAAGAAAACGAGCAATCATTTATAAATTAAAACTGAGGCTTGCCTAAGGCATCCGATTTTAAGTATGCGTCTAAAGGGCACATAAGGTGTAGTCAAGTTACAACCTGTCAGCCAAGATCACACTTTGGAACGTACGATTTTTGGTGAGGGGCCGTCTTGTATCAATTTCTGTTTATTAATAACAATGTTTACATTTTTACATTTTATGCTTCCATAATCTGAATAAGCGGGGGGGGGGGGGGGGGGGGTGGGGGACTTTGGGAGTGGGGGGGGGGGGGGGGGGGGGGGGGGGGGGGGGGGAAGGGGACACTTGTTTTCTCTTTGTTTTGGTCCCAACAAATCGCAACGACTCAGCAGACCGCTGCATAAGCGGGGAGCGAGGGGGGGGGGGGGGTGGGGGGGGGGGGGGGTAAGAGGTTAATTATTATTTTTTTTTTGGTCTCGAAATTTGAACATTTCTTCATTAATGCTACACCCTAAAAAATACCCCGCATTACATAATCAACTTAACCAGGCACTAGGTCGGAGGTAACAATGACCAAAAGCACAATTTAAGAATGCATACCAAATAGGGCATTTATATCGCCAAAATGCTTATTCAAGCATTTTTGTGTATGTATGGACAAAAACAAAACCAGCCATGCAGGCCAAGAAAATATTAAAAAGTCGAGTGTATCATACAAGCATTGCTTGTTAATAGTTGGGATTTATGCTTTATGAAAGCTTTTGCGGTGAGCATTTTATCATAAACATATGCATAACGTTTGGGATGATTGAATAGGCCATTCCCTCTTAGTTAAATATTGGGGGGATATTTACCCCCACCCTCCCCCCCCCCCCCCCCCCCCCCATCCACCCGGAGCCTCCGGTTTTGTTATCACTAGATTCTACGTTTTCAATTTGGTGAGACGGATATAGAGATTGAGTGCCATTGGACATTGGAATTCAGTTTACGTCGGGTGTACGTTAGTGGCTACTCACAAAGTATGTTTTCCTGCGGATTAATATCAAGTTTTCGTCCATGTATCGTGACTGCTTCGTCAAGTTACCCGGTGTCACAATGCATGTCACACAGTTACATCCTATCAAATCCCATGAAGTTCTGTCACAAAAGCATAAAGTCTATTGCAATATCGAAATTAATTCATCAGAAGGCGCACAAAAAGGATAGGCAGAAATGTTCATCACAAACACCTGTCCTCGATTCACTTCGGCTTACATCGCATGAGGCATGTCACTATCTTCGCCACACACTCGGTATCGATTCGGCTGACACGAAGCTTAGCCGAGATCGTTTCGGGCTTCTGCGTGAAATCACGTTGAGATCACACTTTCGACAACCGTTTCAGAATGTCACTAATACTTACGCAATACCATTGAGTGAGAGAAGAATTCCTTCCTGGGACGAGATAAAGCAGACAATGCTGGCAGGACAAGGAGGGGTATGCTACGAGCTTAACGTCTTCACAAATAGGTAAGAATTTTCGTGTTTTATTAATTTTCATTTTGTCATAGTAGCTACTATACTAGGCTACACGATCGCTAATAATAAAACAAAACCCCGAAGGAAATGGTCAGTTTATTTATGTTATGCATCCTACTTTAAGTAAGGTTTCCCTTCACAATTCTAAAGCTTGCCAGGTAAAGCAACAGTTAATGCGCCATAGTGGATTCTGCCATTTGAAATCTCATTATTTAAGCAGGTGATTCAAATAGTCAGTATCAAGGGCCTCTGGGGAGGTCCGAGCATACATATATTGAAATACATTGGTGAGCAGATCCAATAGCCTGTACCTATTGACATTTTTTCGAACATGACAATAAGGTTCAGAAGGTTCATAAGGTCCATATTTATTGTCCATTTAATAATGGAAATTCGTCGTGTTACATAGTATTGCAATACACATAATATACAACATATACCTTCATAGACAAATCAGTAAAATAGATGTTGAGTTGACAGAAAACAATGACGTATTACGCAATCCATTACGATATTAATGCGCAAAAAATTCGGGTGTTGAAATTAGCCATTTGGAATATGTATATTCAAATTTATTCGAGTTAACTCAGCAACGCACTGTTATATCCAGCTGCCATTTTAAATCAGTTTACATGTACAAGTATTTCAAAAGTCAGAATGCAGACTACATAATATCATTTGTTGTTCGGTAGGACAAATATTATGGCTTCTCCTACTTTGAAGGAATGGAGACAATTTGCATACCCAGTATTGAAATATAATTATTTGTAACAAGGCACTTTAAAGTAATGTATGGTGATTACATTACAAACAGTGCCTATTTCTCTGAAATTCATCTCTTGAAAGTCTATGCGATCATGTTCTCTGTAAAAAAACATGATCATGAACAAGTTAAAAGAGAAAAATTGGTATCAGACTGATTTTCGCATCTGGTAAAATGTCAAAATTAAACATGGCTTCTTATAATTTTTGTATAAGTAGTGTGCGCGCGTGTTTGGGTGTGTGTGTGTGTGTGGGGGGGGGGGGGGGGGTTGTCCGTTTGTACATTTTTCTTTGTGTACTCGTACTAACAGTAGGTCGAGTACAACATATGCTGATGATGAAGTGTGCATAAATGATTGCCTGAAATAAGAGTTATCAGACTGAACATCAAGTTGAAAACATTTCTATGAACTTTTTTCTTTTTTCTTTGTGTTTTATTGAAAACATTCTTATGAGCTTGAGGTCAATGTAGGAACGGTATGATGACCATGTGTACACTGGGAAGTGAGAATTACTGACTGAAAATTGATTTTCCTAATCTCAACTCTGCATTGGCTTCTTTGGATCATGAAGCTGCATGTCCCATGTGCATAACTATGTGTACGAATAGTACATACGTGATCTGCTGGAATTGAGAACTCCTACGTACAGCTATAGTGACCAAAGAATTTCAATTGATACCATCGACCCTAATAGACAGTGACAATAGTCAATTCAGACTTTATGTATTTAGCCCTGAACCTGAACCAGAAAGCCTTTGACACCAACAGCTCACCTTCTATTCAACGATAAATTCCTGCCTCTTGCCTGCAGGCCCAGGCTATTCATAATATTTCACATAAAAAGGTAAACAAACACTCCCCACCATGCCAGCAAACAATACAAGGAAAAACACTGCTGCTGCTATTACTGAACCTCAGACCAGGGGCGGCCGAGCGACTTCCAAAGTGGGGGGGGGGGGGCACCAAGAAAAAGGGCACTTCCTGGAGAAAAAAGGCACCTACAAAGGGAAATCTCAAAGCGAAAATATACAAATTGTTAGACATTGGTATATACCCCTACATTGTGATTACAATTATCGGGGATGATTTCAATATTTGCTTCACTTTATACACCAAACAAGACATTGCTTTAAAGCATGACGCTTTGCAGTTGGGTTCGATTGTCTAAAAAATTGTTTGCGAGCGAGGAAAAATTGTAAGATGTGTGAGGTCGTAGTGCGAAAATTACATCTTATATAGAGGAAAACATCCAATCTTAATGGGGTTGTAAGCACATTCTCTTAACGGAAGACTGAAAAGACCTTTGATAAGTAATATAAGTATATCATCTATAGATGCGTACGAGCGTAGCGAGCGAGATTTGGGGGAAATCGCTCTTAGTCGCTTGAAATGAGCTAGGGCGCGTTTAATTAATAGCAGAAAATTAGACACTTATCAGAAAAGATAAGGAGCATGTGGCAAAGTACAAAGAGTAATTATGAGAGGTGAAAATGGGGCACTTCTTACACATTAGAAAAGAGGCACTCACAGGGGATGAAAACAGTTAGTCATGAGAATAGGAAACGGGCATTTGTCGACGGAAAACGGACCCCATCATTTTGATGGGCATTTATAAGATATTACTATATATTGATGAAAGGGAAATTATTTTTTAGTAATTTTTATTTTTAGTAATCAATGTTGCAGTAACGGAGTACCGAAGCGCCACGTCGTATTCGCTCATCGTCCAGGTTACTAGCTCCAAAAAATAATAACTGAGCCTGCGCATGAAGTTCACCTCGATCATTAGGGCAAACTCAGTGTTTGGCGCTGGTGTGATAACCACATTGTTTAATACAAACCAGCAACCTTGATAACTTGACTAGTATGACGTCACACTTTTGTACTGTATACAACGATGCTTGTTTATTTAAACGCTCGCTTCTCTTGCATTTTTGTCATTTCATACAGACTCCTAGCTGTTTTGGGGTACAACGTTCATCTCATTGGAGGGAAGTTCATGGGCCACGACCGATATCACGTGACCAACATAGTTCACGATGTTGAGGTCAAAGGTCAGCGGCATCTGGTAGAAGTTGGTGCATCGGATCCAACGTTTCATCCTATTCCGCTTGACTTTGAGGAAGAGAGCCCGGTGTACCAGGACTCCTTTCTGACGTATAAATTCAAACTTGGTAGGAACGACCTGCAACGCTTCCATGTCATTCGTAAAAGTGACTCCGACTCCTCTCTTCTCGAGGACCACACCCACCCGACTAACTGGAGATTGATATCGGAGATGGATATCGCTACAGATCGTGATCTCGACTACTTCAAGGAACCAATGTCGTACGTCTTTAATGCTCTTCCGCGCCCCAAAATGAAAATGTTCGATGAAGGGATGTTTGCTATGATTTACGAGAATGGGAAGATGGTCTATATTCGCGACAACCTTCTATATTTGGAAAGAAACGACAATACTGAGGAACGTCGCGTTCTGTGGTCGACGGACGAGGTGCTCGAAGCGTATAGCAGATTCATGCCGATGATACCAAATGAAAGGAAATTGCTGGGACTAAAGAATAGAAACTTGGTGTTCCCTCCGTGGGATAAAGACAAGTGTGTAACTGTTTCCCCTATTGTGAGGTATGGCAACGCCGTTGACCTGTCTAAAATATATGCAACAAAGTAACCAGTCGTTTAGTAGTCCCGGTTGTTTGGTCATAGGAAAAAGTTGTCACAGTTTTGACAAGTATTGGCAGTTTTGAAAAGCATCATCTTCATAAAAGAACAAGACACACCAGTTGAACTTCTAAAAAATCTCAATGTGGAAGCAATGAAAGAAATTGAGACGTTATGTCAAAATATATTTGAAACTGGTACAAGGTCTGAAGACTTTCTTAGGACAACTATCAGCCTTTTCACACACAGCTAAAATCCATCGTATCTAGAGATGATTAGAATCACTCAACAGTTTTAAACATGTTTATAGACAAAATTTCCCAGTGTGAACATCGTTTATACGATGTTGGGATAGATACGAAGTCCTAAAAGCAGGCTGCAGATACGAAGTTCGTATCTAGAGAGCTTGACATTTTGTGTGTGAAAGGAAATTCGTGTTTAAAAGTGTTTAAAGGGAAAGTCCACCCTGAAATTAAGTTAGTTTTAATAGGAGTAGAAAAATGAGAGAAACAAGTCAGTGAAAGTTTGAGCAAATTCCGATTAAAAATAAGGAAGTTAGGATTTTTGAAGTTGTGATCAATCAAACACAAATTGGCAACTCTATGACGTATCATGCGAGCTCAACTTCCATTTGCTCAGTACTAAAAAAATCTAAAATTTTCATTTTCCCTCAAGAAAAATTTCAACCATACATGCACCCTAAATATAATAATTGCAAATATGTTTCTATACTCCCCCTGCAAGGAACAAATATATATTCCGTCATCAATAACGAAGAAAACATGATTTTATGGAATATTATGCACAAAGCAAATGAAGGAGAGCTCGTATAATAAGTCACAGAGTTGCCAATTTGTATTTGATTGATCACAACTTCAATAATTCATAACTTTCTTATTTTCATTCAGAATTTGCTCAAACTTTCACTCACCTGATTTTCTTATTATTCTGCCTCTATCGAAACAAACTTATTTTGGGGGTGGACTTTCCCTTTAAACTGGATGGAGCGTGCGCTTTGATTGATATGACATGACCTTCAATGCGCAATGGCACTACTGCGCATTTTACGAGCAGTAGTTAATCACGAAACTATTAACGATCGCAACGAAATTTCTGCGTGTGAAGGCTAGTGATTAGTTTAAACACGTTCGAAACACGTTTATACTAATCATGTTTATAGAATTTTAGCTGTGTGTGAAAAGGCTGTATGATTCCCATACTAAAGAAAAATAATTCTATTAAGTGCTCTGCCTTTCGTACAATAAGTCTTATGTTCCATACTTCAAAGAGTTTACTAGGACTTATCACAACAAGAAGTACCAACGAAGCGGACAATTTTCCTGGGCTATGATCAATTTGAGTTTTGAGCTGGACTTGGCAATCGGGAGGAAATTGTTGTAATGAGAACTCTTTGCGAACGAAGTCTGGAAGTGAAGAAAAAAGGTAAAATTATGTTTTGGGGACTAGAAGAAAGTGACATGGTTAACCCGTTGGCTAATGAATTATCTAATTCCCATAGGCTTAACACAGGGACCACCAGGTTCCAGTAAGCAATGGGTTAACTGTGAAGTGGATTGTGTTGTGTTTGTGTTGATATCTCTCAGAGACGAATGGGTGGATAGGTGGTCCATCATGAACGTATACATGGGACAGACAGTGGTCATGATAACGGCAGAAGGGGACTCTGAAACTGAAGACATTGGGAGATGGATGAACTCTGTTTGCGCTTTGCAAATGAAAAGGCAATTGTAATTAACTTATCACTTACAACGGGAGTATTTCCGGACTCTATGAAAAAAGCAAAAGTAATTCCAATATACAAAAAAGACGACTCTTCTCTAGTTTCAAATTACCGACATGTTTCTATCTTACCACGTATTTCTAAAGTCTTAGAATGACTGACTTATAATAGAAAAATAAACTGTTGTATGAAAATCAATATGGTTTTAGGAAATTTCATTCAACGGAGTTAGCTTTGTTACAATTATTTGATAGAGTGCCATATGCCTTAGCTGATCATAAGCATGTTATTAGAGTATTCATGGATCTGAGCAAGGCATTTGACACTCTTGACCATACAATACTTATACGTAAATTGGAATACCATGGATTGAGGGGTGGTGCTATACAATGGTTTAAAAATTATTTAACAAATAGAAAACAATTCGTATGTTATGATTCAATTGAATCAGAATTAGTATCTGTAACGTGTGGCGTGCCACAAGGGTCAATCCTCGGCCCTTTGTTATTTCTGATATATGTAAATGATATTTATAATTCATCAAATGCACTACAGTATATTTTATTCGCTGATGACACCAATGCATTTTGTTTCAATTCAGATTTTCAGATCCTTTTAAGAAATATTAACGCTGAATTACCAACATTATCAAAATGGTTTAGAAGTAATAAACTGTCTCTTAATTTAAAGAAAACAAACTTTATATACTTTCAGAACAGAAAAAATAACGATATTCCTGACATTAAAATTACTTTGGATGGTGAATTATAGGAAAAGAAGGATAGCACGAAATTCATTGGTGTTTTGATCGATGAAAATCTGAGATGGAATAATCATGTGCAATATATTTCTAATACTATTTCACGTAATATTGGTATTCTCTGTAAATTGAAATATTATGTCCCTTCAAATATCTTGTTTATGTTATATAATTCATTGATATTGCCTTATATTTCATATTGTAACATTATATGGGCAAATTCGAAAAGCAACGTTGACGCCATTTTACTGTTACAAAAGAAAGCCATGCGTATATGTACTGATTCTTCCTATCGCGACCACACCAATCCCTTGTTTTCAAAACTAAAAACTCTAAAAGCTGATGATATAAATTTTCTACAAATAGCACTTTTCATGTTTCGCTTACAAAATGGTCTACTACCTTCATACTTTCCCCCATTGTTTAATTTGAATAAAGACATCCACTCTTACCCCACAAGACAAACTGAAAAATTCCATTTAAGAAATCCAAAAACCGCATTGGCTCTTAAATCTATTAGACACGCCGGCCCAGACATCTGAAACTCTCTGCCCATTGTAATAAGAAACCTTAGGACATTGTATTCCTTTAAGAAGGCAGTTAAAACTATGTTATTGTCTAAGTATTGATCATGTCGTGTGTAATTCTACTGTAATCATGTTCGTGTGTACATTGACTGTATATTCAACAATGATGTGTAATCGTCCATGACCTAGCATCGTATTTCCATTCATGAATGAACCTGCATTCAATCAGCAGATTGTATTATTACCAACGCTCCTCCTCCTCCTCCTCCTTCTCTCCCCTTTCCCTTTCTTTTCTGCAAGTCACTCTTTTTTATTTTTATTTGTATTTTTGTATCTAAGTTGAGGGCTGCCGGCACGTCAAGCTACTTTGCTTATTTCTGTAGCCCTCCTGCATCTAATGTATATCGTTTATTATCTGTATAAAATTATATACACTTGAAATATTGTATCAAGCCATATTATGTTCATGAAAATGTATGATGAAAAAAGAAAAAAGATGCAGAAACCAATAAATCAAATCAAATCAAATCAAAAACTTAATAAGTGAAAGTAAAGATAGAATTTAAAGTTTAATGGACTCATAGCAGGTGAAGGTTTTGGAAATAAAATCAATACCACTAAAACGGAAGCAATAAAATTAGTTTTGTAGTTTGTTGTTCGTGCAAGGTTTCCGTACTTACATGATAGGCATTATAACTTGTTCAATGTACTTTGTTGCCGTTAAGGGGGTAAATGACAACGCAATGCTTTATTGGAAAGTGAAAGCACTAATAAAAGACCTGTTTACTAATATAATCAAATTTACGAGACTCGGTGCTTGTTCTCTGGGGACATAGTGACGAGTAAGTCCATTAACCCAATTTAAATGAATAAACTGCAATACTTGGACTCCAATCGCCATGCATTACTTATTACTATGTCGGGCAAGCATCGATCAACCTTTCAGGTTGTGAAGAATGACCTATGTGTAGAAAGTATGCATAACATTTATATGAGTTAATAAACTGGTTTATCAGAAACGGGGACAATTCTGGCATTTGCGACAATACACCTGCAAACATGTCACCATGAAATCATGTGTCAATCTAGCATTTAATTTCTTTTTACAAAACATTAGTGAATGAATAAATAAATATATAAACATAAATCATTAGGTCGTTTTGTGCCATTAAGTTGCACCGAAAAGAAAACTCGAATCCCTTTTTCCAAATCGACGGTCAAATTGTGCAGGAAGCCAACTCAATGTGGAATTTAGGCAATATGAATAGCGCCATCTAACGACTTGAGCACTTCCATCGTTCTTAGCCAGATAACCACAGCAAAGCCCCATATTTTATTTAGCTGTAGTAAGTAAACGTACTTCCCCAAATCATTTGTTTTGCCATATATGCTTAGAAAATTCTCCTGTTACCTTTTTCAAAATTCGTGTTACCCCTCCCCCCCCCCTCCCTTGGCTTATCATGATTTTTCCTTGACGTGCGTTGTATATCCTTTTTTTTTTTAATGAAGAACGAATAAAGAAATTCATATCTCGTGTATGCGCATATTTGATAAACATCTACTGGCTGTTATTTATTAATCGTGTTTAAATCAATTAAAAATGAAAATAAAATCGAGGCATTTCTGCCAATCAGCTGTTCAACATATCATTTCCATCATATTCACAAATTCCTCCGTGTTTTCGCTCTTTAATGCTTACGGGTGCAGCAATGGAGAGCTAAAGCATACGGTGCGGACAAAATATATGTAAAAATGTTGACAACCTAAGCGGGTGACAGGAGGCACATGTCTGGAAACAAACAATGAAACAACAACACCTCCGCCCCCCCCCCTCCCTCCCAAAAAGCTAGACTTAAACACACCCATTGAAAGGAAAGATTATTGAAAGATTGATGCTAGAGAGGAGAAAATTGTAATAATAGAATAAGTGGAATGATAATAATTATAACAGTAATAATAATAATAACAGTTTTTGCGATTTCGCATTGGGCCCCATGGCATCCATTCACATTACCTGGACGGAGTGGGAAATGCAGATTAATGTCGTGCCAAAGGAAAACTAGTGCAGCGACAAGGATTCGAACCGAGTACCTTTAGGATCACAGTCTGGAGACTATTCCACAGGAACGTAACTCTGTTTTAAAAATAAGTTATAGGTCATTACAAATTGTCATAATTCATTTGTTACTCTCCACCCAGGTGTTAAATTGGTATCATGAGGACGGAATTCCCTGAATGCTGAGACTTGAGAGCACCAAAATTGGTAGCCTAGCAGAACCGGTGAAAAATTGGGTTCTAGGACAACTATCACCCCCCCCCCCCCGGAAAGACCAACCTACCTACAAGGACAATTACCCCCTGGAAAATTACCTCCCCTGGAAAATTACCCCCTTGGACAATCATCCCCCTCATGGACAATTATACCCCCGACAAATTCCCCCGTGGACAATTTTCCCACCCCCCTCCCTAAAAAAAATAAAAATCGAAACCAACTTATCATCAGGGCGGACTTCCCCTTTAATTAAGAGGGGATAATTTTCTGGGGGTGGGTATTTGTCCTCGGGCAGGTTGTCTTTGGTTTTCCTGAAAGGGGGGGGGGGGGGTTGTAATTGTTCTAGGGGTAATGTTTAGGAGTTAGGATACATATTAGGTGGTAATTTCCGGGGGTGACTGTCCTCGTTGGGTAGCTCTCCTTGGTGATATTTTACCGGGGGTAGATTTGTCCTGATACGATAATATTGGAGCGGTCGCGCGTTCACTCCGGGTATTTAGACTCATCTCAGCCGCTTAGCCAGAGTCACGAGGCCTTGTCAAAAGGCTACTTGCGTGGAGGATATTTGTGTTATAGAAATATCACATGTTATCATTATCCCTAATGTCTACACAATTTAATAAGCTACACTGAAAAAAAGTCGTAGCAATTCGTGTTTATGTTTGTATTTATCTAGACACATTTATTAATATTCGAACTCCAATCAGATTAATTAATCAATATACATCATACACGATGCTTCAATTGATAGTATCATAAAGAAATCCATGAAAAAACATCGGTTTGGTTATTAAAGCACGTTGTAGCATGTCACAATACGAACAAAGGGCACAATGACTCATTTTAACTCACACGGGGGCGCTGCCATTGACGATTATTGTATATGTAGAACATCACTTATACCCAGTGTAATGTCATTCAAGGTCAATGACTGTAGTCCTTATATTATATGATCATTGTCAAATAACAATCAATATTATACAAATAACGCACGTCCCAGCGTGCAATAGCGGTGAATGCAGAGTTTTTTTTTAGATTGGTGCCACTCTGTGCAACGAGCCGCTTGCGGCGAGTTCACAGGGCGCACCATCTAAAGAAACCGAGCGTACACTGCATTTACGTTTCGCACAACACGGTCACGTAGAGAAACGGTAGCGCAGAAACTCATTAATTGCAGCCCATCGTAAACTACCGCGATGAAATATTCAAGCACAATCTTCAAAAACAAGTTTTTTTTAGAAATACGTGAAAATATTTTACAAACCGATTGCAACGACTCTGATAACGGTAACATAGAAACACAGGTTAATTCAGCAGTAAATGATTTAATAATAATGATTTATAATGCAGTTATATTCAATAGTAATAAATGTCGAACTAAAAAAAGGCGAAAGAAAAATAAGCTATGGTTTTGACACAGATCGTAATCAGGTTTTGAGGTCTATCAAACGTCTTAGTCAACAAAAGCCATGGGATAAAAAATTACGGCGTGAAATAATGACCCCCAAAAAGCTTTAATAAACTTATACTCAAAATTAAATAAATATATGAGAGTAAAACGGGTAGTTAAGTTATTATGTGATGAAAATTAAAAAAACCTTCTGAGTTTGAAAGAATTATAATTATATAAAAGGGACAAATATAAAAGATATTAATTATATTAATGACCGAGTCGTATGTTAATAATTTTGATGAAAGTGGTACTTGTGTTAAGTGACTGCCTAATGTTAACAGATCTGTAGATATGTGGGAGGGGGGGGGGTATACCAAAACTAGACAAATCCTGTAAAGGTAGAGCCGGACTTCAGTACATGGCAACATTCATTGGTTACTATTTCCTCCTCTTAGCAGATAGACCAAAAATAATTTCCTGACTGGAAGGAAAATTGACATCATTATAGTTCAATCCTTCTCAGGTAATCTCATATAACCCCAGTTGTGTATTATTCTAATAGGTTCATACCATAAGTTCAAGTGGCGAGCGAAAGTCGAAAAGACAGGGGAATCCCCTAGAAACAGGGGATCACATGACCTAAATGACGTCACTAAGTAATTATGCTTTGGCACGTGTCTTGCGCTCTCGGGAACGAAATCCGCCCGAGCTGCGCATAACAATTATCGACGGAGAGCGAGCGAGGTCTTTCCTCTTCGGCGTGAGCTCACCAAATACACACACACATTCGCCCATCCACTTCCTACATAGCTTTAATCGTGTGTGTACGGTTGGTACGAAATGCATGGGGGTCCCTGCGTGTTTCAACGCAGACGATATTTTCTATGTTTTCTTTTTGCGATCTGCACAGCTGATTCGCCAACACAAAGCTAACACATGACATGCGACGACAAAGAAATGCGAGCCTCATATCGACAGGCACAAGAAACTGTACCAAATCGACGGGAATTGAGCTCGGAAACGTGCAATAGAGCTCTCTTTTTCTCCGGGATTATTCATCTATATGCTGGCATATTTTGAATAACCAACACGCAGAACCATGGCGGATATTTCCTCTCCAAAATTGAGCTTCTTATCTTTGCGGATGTATGTTATGATTTTTGTCGGAGGTAAGTGCACGCTGATGATGATGTTATCCTTTGTTATTGCCATATCCTGTTTTTTGTTTCACCGAATAATGAGCTTTTCTTTGTACGCTCTATCTAAGTGTACTTGCGTATTGCAATTATTACTCTGATTTATGCTGATCATGGTCTATTTGTTACATTAAAATCAAACAAAATTATATTTTCAGAAAGGTCAACAAAGATGAGTGTCGAATAACGTTGATGTGCATACAATACAAAGAATCCGGGCTAACTCGGCCCACGGGACTACTCGGCCCAGCTGGAAAAACTGGGCCGAGATGTCCCGACCTGATTAATCGACCGAGAGATACCAATGTGTATATGTTTGTGCTCTTTGTGACTTAATAATGCCCTTTCCAACCAAAATCTTTAATGGAATTGTGTTAAATGATACCAATGAAGACAATTTATAACTTATCTTTAGGTAAAATGACAAAAAAATGACATTTCGGACAATTTACTCACAGCTCGCAATCCGCATTGCCGCACGTACATTAAATGTGCGTTGTATCTACTCGGACCACTGAAATTCGAGCAGTGTTTTTGTCGGTAAATCACTGCAAAAATATCATTTTTATCTCGTATGAAGGTCTATTTTTTATTCCTGACACAGATTTCATTATTGAGAAGTCGAATATAGTACATTTTAGACGAGATGGTTGATGTTTGTTCACATTCTTTCGTCCTGGCCGTAAATTAGCAGACTACTGCCTAGTGCTACCGCAGCAGCTCAGCTCAGTGTGCAGCTAGCCGTACAGCGCCGCCGGCCGGGTCGGCGGGGGAATTCACCTACTCGGCGCCCGTACCGGGCCGCTGCACTGCATTGCATGATTGTACTGCCCAATTTGATCGAGTGATGCGAGTATAACTAATCAAACTAGATCTATATTTACTGTATTATCATTATTCATTCCGAGTAGAATATCCAATTTGATTTAGTGAGTAAACTAGACCTAGATCTATATCTACTGTACATAGCTACATCATTATCATATACTCATTCAGAGTAGAATATTTGATTAATGAAGGAATGGAATTTTTCTTTTTTCATAATCAGATAATCATATTTTACTCCTAAAAGTTAAAGACTTGATAAAATAGCTAGATCTAACGTAAGGGCCTAGCCTAGTACTCTAAGCAGAGAAGTGAGCTGAAGAATCGCCTTCTTATTTTTTTGGAGGGGGCTGCTTCAAAAAAATTCTACGAAAAGAATTAAGGTATTGGCTTCAAGTTTTTTTGTATAAATAATGCAGCCCCCACCACCCCCCCCCCCCCAACAAACAAAAAAAATCTCCTTTTTGTTCCCTTTTTCTGGGAATCAAAGAGATATATAAAAAGCAAAGCAATTAAGACATGATATTGCAATGCATGCCGGTGCATGGAGGGGCAGGGGCAGAGGCGGACCTCCCGGGGGGGGGGCACAGTGCCCCCCACTTTTTCAGATACCCCAAAAGTGCCCCTTTTTACATAGGAAAAGTGCCCCTTTTATTTTGTAAGAAGTGCCCCTTTTACATAGGAAAGGTGCCCCTTTTCATTTGACAAGTGCCCCTATTACTTAGTAAAAGTGCCCCTTCCCCCTTTTCACCTCTGACGAGTGCCCTTTTTTATTTTAGACACGTGCCCCTTTTCCTTCGACATGTTCCCATTTTCCTTTGCAATAAGTGTCCATTTTCCATTCTCATAAATCTTGAAATAATCTTGAATAAGTGCCCTTTTTAATCTCTAGTAAGTGCCTCTTTTCAAGTACGAGAAGTGCCCCTTTTCACTTTTAATAAGTGCCCCCTTTACCTCTGATAATTGCCCTATTCAAAACTGAGAGGTGCTCCTTTTACTTTGACAACTTCCCCTTTTTTCCTTTGTAAGAAGTGCCCCTTCTCCTTTTAATAACTATCCCCTTTTTTAAACTCGGATGAGCACACCTTTCATTTTAACATGTGCCCCTCTTATTTTCTAATAAGTGCCCCTTTTCCTTATGATAAGTGCCCCCATTAAAAAGAAAGAGTTCCTTCCCCTTCTCATAACTGCCCCTTTTAAAAATCTGTACGGTGCCCCCTTTTCATTCAACAAATGCACATTTTCCTTTATTATAAGTGCCCCTTTTCATATCTGGTCAATGCCCCTTTTCAACTCTGATAATTCCCCTTTTAATAATGATACGTGCCCCTTTTCTTTTCTAATAAGGGAACTATCCCCTTTTCACCTCTTATAAATGCCCCTATCAAAATCTGATGGGTGCCCCTTTTCCGTCAACAAATGCCTATTTCCCATTTTCGTAAACGCCTCTTTGTCATCACTGGTGATTGCCTCTTTTCAAGTGAAAAAATGCCTCATTTTCACCTCTCATAATATTCCATTGTACTTTGACACGTGCTCCTTTTCTTTTCTTATAAGTGTCTTATCCCTTTCGATAATTGTCCCCTTTTCATGTAATCATTAAACGTGCCCCTTATTTAAGGCGACTAAGAGCAATTTCGCCCAAAGTTCGCTCGCTGCGCTCGCTCGCATTTAAAGATGATATAATTATGTTACTTATCAAAGGTCTTTTCAGTCTTCCGTTATGAGAATGTGCTTATAACCCCATCACGATTGGCTTTTTTCCTCTTTATAAGATGTAATTTTTCGCACTGCGACCTCATAGATCTTTGAAATTTTTCATGCTCGCTTCGCTCGCTCGTAAATGCATTTTCAGACATCACACCCAACTGTAAAGTTTGATGCTTAAGCGATATCTTGTACGATGTATGAAGAGAAACAAATATTGAAATCATCCCTGATAATGTAATCACAATGTAGGGGTATATACCAATGCCTAAAAAATTGTATATTTTCACTTTGAGATTTCCCACTGTAGGTGCCCTTTTTTTTCTCCAGAAAGTGCCCTTTTTTGTTGGTGCCCCCCACTTTGGAAGTTGCTCGGCCGCCCCTGGGAAGGGGGATCTTAATTCTGGTAAGCCTTCTCCTGGACCTTTGGTCAACTGGTCATTAATTTAACCGTTCCTCAAATTTCTAAAAGGCAGCTGCCCCCCCCCCCCCCACCTCCCATCCATCTCGGCCAGGTAAGTAATCAGCAACAGAGGCAAAGATCTATGAGCAAAATCAATTTTTATATTTTTTTTTTGGGGGGGGGGGCTGGGGGTTAACAGATTTATATCTGATATATTGTGTACCTGTATAAATATGTATACTATAAATAAATAATAAATGAAAAAAACAAATTTGCATTACCACAACGTGACATAAAATTAATACACGATTACACCTGCTTAACATTTGTTATTATGAGTCTGCTTGACGTCATCTTGTTGGAATTTGTACCTTGGAATCGTAAACAAATAATGTTTATTGTTATTATGTGTGTTTTTCAAACATATCCTCAATTTTATTTAATTGTTTTAACTTTGTTTATTTATTTAGGCTTTTTTTGCCTTGTAACTTGCATATATGAAATAATACGTACCAATACCACAACACAAGGAATGGTGTGGCGTGTCATCTGTACTGGTCTCTGCATGTTACAATTTTTTTATTTTTTTTGGGGGGGGGGCTTGGGGTTAACAGATTTATATCTGATCTTGTTTACCTGTAAGGATCAAGATATAAGAAGCCAAATTTAGTTTTTGTTTTGAGGATACCGTAGATTGACTGGAATTGTTGTACAAACGTAGCTTGGCTTGTCACATGGAAACTACAGATATGATATGATGTGGGCACGGATTCAAGGAAGGAAAACTTTGTTTTACCTACTAAACTACTACTACTATTGCTACTTTGTACATTCCGGTGTATGGAAATGATTGCAGTTCAGTTGAGTGTTAATAAACAAAGAACCATGAAATTACCACATTGTCTCAAGGATCATATGTAGATATCTCTACAGTACCTGTATAAATATGTATACTATAAATGAATAATAAATAAAAAAAAACAAAATTGTATTACCACAACGTGGCATAAAATTAATACACGATTACACCTGCTTATCATTTGTTATTTTGAGTCAGCTTTGTCCTCATTTTTATTAAATTGTTTTAACTTTATTTATTCAGATTTTTTTTTGCCTTGTAAATTGCATATGAAATAATACGTACCAATACCACAACACAAGGAATGGTGTGGCGTGTCATCTGCATGTTACAATTTTTTTTTTTTTTTGGGGGGGGGGGGTGGGCTGGGGGTTAACAGATTTATACTGATCTTGTGTACCTGTAAATATGTACATACTATAAATAAATAATGAATTAAAAAAATAAAATTGCATTTCCACAACGTGGCATAATACATAATGGAGACAATGTTGATGATGTAAGGGATGGAGATGATGAGAGGAATGGAGACGATATTGATAATGAAAGGGATGGAGACAATGTGAGGGATGGAGATGATGAGAGGGATGGAGACAATGTGAGGGATGGAGAATTGGAGATGATGAGATGGATGGAGACAATTTTGATGATGTAAGGGATGAAGAAGATATTGATGATTGAAGGGATGGAGACGTCTCCATCCCTCCCGTCTCCATCCCTCTCACCATCTTGTCACCATCTCCATCCCTCCCATCGTACCGTTCTCGACTCTTAATCCTTATTCTTCCTACGTCCTCTTCCTGTTTTTTTTTTTTTCTCTTTTTTTTTTTTGGGGGGGGGGGCGACTGCCCCCACTGCCCCCCTCCCCCTGGCTACGCGCCTGCCCCTCCAAAATAAAAGAAGAAGGCGATTCTTCAGCTCACTTCACTTACAGTACTACGCTAGACCCTTACGTTAGATCTAGCTATTTATCAAGTCTTTAACTTTTAGGAGTAAAATATGATTATCTGATTATGAAAAAGAAAAATTCCATTCCTTCATTAATCAAATATTCTACTCTGAATGACTAATCTACTAAATCTAGTATATGATAATGATGTAGCTACAGTAGATATAGATCTAGGTCTAGTTTACTCACTAAATCAAATTGGATATTCTACTCGGAATGAATAATGATAA